CTGCATGTTTCTCTCACACTTGAACCTTTCTGCTCCAGCCCCTAAAGCCTATCCACATCTTGTCTCTTCCTCATCCTTGCTCATTATTCCAGGCGCACACAGTCCCAGCCTCCTTGTCCAGCCAGTCCTCCCAACTCCTCACCTGTCTCCTTCCATCTACTCCCAGTCCCCATCCCCAAACTTCACCGCTTACCAAATCTTATTTCCTCACCTTGGTCTCCAGACACTGCTCCCCATCACATTCCTAAATCCAGCTTGCTCCCAAATTCAGTCTCACCATTGTTTCTGCTTCTTCCTGCCCCAAGCTCTCAATATAACCAGTTCCAGACTTCCAGTCACATCTCAGCTACTCAGATCCATCTTCCCCTATTTTCTTCCCCCCTTCCTAAAGGTCTCCAGGTCAGGTCCCTCCTTACCCCCTATTTTCCTTCCTGGCTCCCAGTTCCCAATCTCCTTGCTCCATTAGACCCAGTCCCTTCTCTTTGGCAGCCTCCAACTCCCCCCATAGGCACCTGGTCTCCAACCCACTCCTGCCGCAGTCCCAATTTCCACCCCCTCTGTATTCAACTCAGGCAGCCTCCTCCTCCACGATGTCTGGGGCTAAATCAAAGGTAACACTGATCACACAGGACCTTGGATCTCTGTTCAGAAGCCCTGACCAGGCTTGACCTTCAGCAGTCCAAGCCTGCTCAGCTCTGGCTGGAGTACAGTACACTCATGACAGACAGAACCTTTAGCTGTTAAAATCTAAGTCTCTGCCTAACACAAGCAAAATGATTTTTAAAGGCTTATTATACCTCAGCCAAATTTGGATGGGTTTAATGCACAGGCTTTCCTGCACCCTTAAGTAAACCCCTACTCTAAAATAAGGGGGAAAGGGTGCTACAGTACCTCAAAGATTAGATTGCTATAATTTCTTAATGCAAGCAAGCCAAAATATTTTCCCAGCCTTATTCTCAGAAATGTTTTGATATTATTGGCTGAAGTTGGGTTTTTTTTCCTTGGGGGGGGCTCAAGCCTGAGACAGCCTGGAAAAACGTTGGCTGAAATCTTTAAACTTCTAAGACACTGAAAATATGGTCTCATAATGGGACATACCTAGCAACTTTAAAATAAAGGAGGCCAGTCACCCCACCTATAACAACTTACTGCTTGTCATCATAGTGCCTAGAGGGGCCTGGTCAATGACTAGGGCTCCTGTGTTAAGTGCCACTGGAATACAGAACAAAAAGACAGTCCTTGTCCCGAACAGCTTAATCTAAGAATAAGACAGGGAGCAATAAATTGATCTCAGACCTCTTGATTACCCATTAACAATTACTCTTTCAGATTTAGCAACTAGTTTGTACCCCAAGGATTATGTCTGTAGTGATTTTCTAGTGCTAAGACACCTAAATACCTCCCACAAATCAGCTCACAAAACTGCTCAGCTCATCTGTCTTGTATTATTCCTTTTTTCTTCTCTCCCTGACCTCATTCCACTTTTCCTCACTGCAACAGATCATAAGTATCTATTTTTGAGTTATCTTCACTTTCCATCTCCCTCCTCTGGCTCTTTTTCCACTTTGAATTCTCTCCCTTTTTCCTTATCCTTGCCATCTCCTGTTTTTTTAACCAATTCCCAGAAATCTTTATACTATACTTTTCTTCTTGACTTTTCTTATCAACCTCTCCCTTCTTCTCCTGCCCACTGCCACTTGGATTTTAATAATTGTAAACTGACCTATTTGATTAACAGGTTCAGACTTCTGTTGAAAAGTGTAGGAGTGCAAAACTAACCGTGAGAAGCTGCAGTGCCCAAGGGCAATGGCCAAAAGAGCTGACCCACCAAGACCCTGCTGCTGGGAAAGGAAAGCAACCCAGCACCTTAAGAGGGTTACCCCTGGAGCATGTTTGGGTAACTCCATCCTTCTCAGATGCCTGACCATTCGCCCCTTCTTGTTCCCTTTTTTGCTAAGTGAAAAGTATCCCGTGTCCCGCAACCCACCTCAATCTCTTCCTATGAGCAGCTTCAGGACCTCTGCTGCTTTTCTTCATCACCAGAAGGCTGAGAGAAATGTGAGGTGGGTAACTGGTGCTTTACCACTTCCTTTAATGAACAACACCGCTGTCTATTTTTCCTTCCTGGGCAAATCTTTCCCAAGCATTCACAAAGAGGAACTGACCTGATTCCCACCTGTTGCCCTTGGGCTCTAAATAACTACAGCTTGAAAGGAACCTCTAATCAGGGGGAGACAAGGGAGATGTCTCTCTGCATGCTTAAGACAACTGCTGTTGTGCTTACTCCAAATTTGCATTTGAAAGGTTGTCCTCCCAAGACAAGACTAGAAAGAAACTTGGAATTCTGAAAGTGGGGATGAGTCTTAGAAAGGAGGTGGCATAGCATCTTCTGCACTGGTCTCAAAATTAAAATGTTCCAATTTCTGCTAAGCAGACTGGGCAGATTAAACAAAATGAATCTAAATAAATACTATGATGAATCTTCACCCAAAACATTCTAAATTAGAGTTAAATGCATAAATTAAGTCACACAATATTTAAGCACAACAAACTAAATCATACCCACCTCTGATGGCATTATACCAAAACTGAATTTAAGATGCTATAGTAGCTCCTTAATGCTTCCCTCCACACTCTACATATAATGCAACATACCACAGAAAGCCATACTCCAAACCTGATATTTAATAAAAGTATAAGGTATGGGAAGAGAAACCGCATATTTTCATGCCTTCCAACACCTTTAAAGGTAGTATGTTTTAAAAAGGCAAAAGTAGCACTAACATATATAAAACATTACAGAAAACTGAGTCAACTGCATATAAAGACAGATGTGCAATACACCCACAAGCACACCCATATAAATGTACATGTAACACGCACAGATAATATGAAGATTAAACACATTTTTTCAAACAATAAAACAGTTTCCTGTATTTTCTAAAGGCAAATATTTAGGCTACTTAAACAGTTATGTATAACTGTGCAAGAAAAAGGAATAGTACAGATTATTATTACAGTCTTTAACGCAGACTCTGCTTAAATGTTTCTGTGGCCTGCTTAGCATTCCAAGCATATTTCTGGCAAGGTAGCTCTGGCTGAAGTTCAAACTGTCCTTGTCCAACTTTCACTTACTATAAAAACATTGTTCAATATAGAAAAAGTATACAGAGACATATGTTTCTTATTTTACAGACACCTAAAATACAGACACTTGTGTTCAGTAACTGCGTGGAAATTTTTAGGCAAACTTCTCAAAGTGGGATTGTGTGAAGCAGACAGCACTCACTGTAAGTGTTAAACACTTTCTTAATCTTTAAACTGTAACATACTCTTGATTTAATTTTTTTTAACACACACACTTGAAACCTGTATGTTTCACCCTCTTTAACAAACCACTTAATCTGGCTATACTTTTGCCAATTCCCCAAGACATAAAGAAGTTAGTCTATAACTATATTACAGAACCATTAGTAGTATATCATATGTGCCACGCTGATGTGCAGTATTTCCTACCTTGCTCACTTCCACACTAAACATTATCATTTCACGATGAGGCAATCTGCTAAATTATTTCAGAACTTCTCAAAAGTCCCAAACTGCTGTGTTGCCCCTTAGTTCATCCCAGCTGATAAAAATCAACACAACTAGGCTATAAAGATCCAAAGGCTATTAAGAATTCAGTGCTCTACATAAGCGTTTGGAAAAAAAAAAAAATACATGCCTGCTTGTAGCTGTACATCATCAGCAAAACTACACAGGCCCACTGACCAGGGACAGCAAAGCTTTGTTTATTTGTCAAATAAAATGGGTTTGGGCTATTCAAACAGTCATACTGGCAACAGACTGGAAGTAGAGAGACAGTCATCTTCATACAAGAGAGAGAAAGAGAGAAACTCGTTAAGTAAATAAATAAGGCCCAGAGCCTGCAAACACTAACAGTGTCTATGTTACAAAATTTGAGCTGGCCTACTGAAGCTAGTGCCTTGATTCAGATGAGTAAAAACCAAGCAAGTACATCATTTCTGCAAGATCTGGGGCTCAGTCAAGTGACCAATTTCAAACCAGTTCTTCCCTCTGCTAGAGCTGCCATCCTGCTTAAAACCCAACCACGTCTAAAAATAGTGTGGGTCAATGTGATTTTTTTTTTGTTCTTGCTGAATTACTTGAGGTAGGTTACTTGCATGGGATATGCTGCCCACCAAAAAGAGCTGGAAACCTCCCTCCGAAAGAGACCCCACTGAGAAAGCAGCAGCTCATTGCTCGGGACAAAAGAGGGGCGAAGCAGGGACTGATGGTCAGAGGTTCCTCGAACAGGAGACAAGGGGCCAGAGCTGCCAGGTGGGGCCCTTGGAAGAGTCTCTTGCGGCTCTTTACAATCCTAGAAAGACAGGGCTGGAAAGGCCCTCAGGAGACTACCTAGTCTAGTGTTTCTCAACCTGTGGGTCATGACACAAAAGCGGGCCACAAGCATATGTGAAAAGGTTGTGAACAAACTTTAAAAGAGCAGAGCAACAAACTTTGAAAACGGATTCTCTCTGCAAGGAGGAAAACGTGGGAAATGGTGAGCTCCAGCCTGCAAGGGGGCTCCCCCTACCCCACAATGTGGCTAGAGAGCAAAGGGGTTGGGGCCAACCACAGATTTCAGTGATTTTTTTTAGGGTCGAAAGGGACCTCAACAGATCATTGTGTCCAACCCCCAGCCCTGGGCAGGAAAGAGCGCTAGGGCCCTACGATCCCAGCTAGGTGCTTGTGACAGATGTTTACAAATGGGTCCTGGTCCAAAAAAGCCAGAGAACCACTGCCCAAAGTCCAGCCCCCTGCTCAAAGCAACACCCTCCCCAGCTCACATCGCCCCGCAAAGCACCCATACAGGTTTTTTTAGGGAAGAAAAACCTTCGGCCAGGCTTAACCTAGGAGGCCTTCCCAGCGGGCCCTGGCCCCAAAGCCCCCCAGCCCGCACGCAAGCGGCGGAGCCGCAGGCCCAGGCCCAGCCCTACCTGTCGCGGGGGTCAATCCACGAGGTCTGCCGCGTGTTGTGGTCGATGTAGAAGATGCGGCCGTCGAAGTCTCGCGCCTCCTCCCAGCCCGCGGGCAGCGGCAGCTCCGCGCTCTCCCGGCCCCGCGGGCCCGGCCCCGGCTCCGCTACCGCCTGCTGCCCCTGCCCCTGCCG